GGGCCCCAGGACTACCCATTACCGCCTGCCGGGACCCATGACTACCCACTGCCCCCTGCCAGGACCAGGACTAGGCAGATTCATGTGCCAGGCCCCAGGACTACCCGCTGACCCCTGCCAAGCCCCAGGACTACCCTCCACCGCCTCCCGGGGCCAAGCACAACCCACCACCACCTGCTGGGGCCGAAGACTACCCACCACTGCCTGCCAGGCCCCATGACTACGTACCGCCTGCTTCTGTTCGCAGGTGAGCATGGCCGTGAAGGGGCCCCCAGCCCATCCAGGGCCCCCGTTCCTGGGAGGCCCCATGCCGCCCCACGTGGGCTATGAGTCGCCGCCGCCACCACTGCTCTGCAGGCCCTTCGGGCCTCGGCCGATGTCTCCTAGGCCACCGCAACCATTCGGTACCGTAGGACACCTGGGCCGGCACCACCACCTACCCTGTCCTCTCGCCTACCCTGTCCTCTCTCCTCACCTGTCCTGATTGGCAGCTGCAGCCCGCCTGACTTGAAGCACAAGGCCCAGCACTCTGAGCCCAGTGCAGCCTCCACAGCTGCTTGGACCAGAAGGGCCCTTCCGGCAGAGCGAAAGCCAGTCTCAGCGGGGTGGTCACCCGGGACGCCACAGGCGGCTGGCAGTGGGAGAAGGGAGGGTCAGGCTGTGGTTGAGCCTTACTGAGCCTCAGTTTTCCTTATCTGTGAAGTCCAGTGCATCACTCGACTTCCTGGCGCAGGGGAAGGGAAACGCTTTCAGCACACCTGGGTTGCTCCTCAGGACGTGTACACATGTCCCTCCTTGAATTAATCATGATATTGGGTGAAAAAGGTGGTGAAAAGTACCAGTGTCCCTAGGGAATAGTTTGGGAGCATAGAGAGCTCTGTGCTTGTCTGCTAAGAGTGAAGTTCATTTTATGGTGATTTTATGGTGATTAGGGTACACTTTTTAATGCTCATAAGGCTTGTAATTCATTGATAGTATGCAGTTTAAAAATAGATGTCTGTGTTCAAAACCATTTCTCTTTCCAATGTGTATGTTCAGAACAGTTTGACAAAAGTAAGATTAGGTTTTGATGATGTATATCTAATTTTGAGGATATGAATATGCCTCTCTATTGTATGAATACAAAACTGCTCACTGCCTGTTTTTGCAGAGGTAATGTTACAGTATTAGCATCCATGGTATGTATACTACTTGTTGGAAACTTTACCCATAATTTGCATGAGTGGATATAAGTAAGTTACGGTATTTTGGTAACCTGTTAGCTACTGAAGAGTTGGAATTTTTTTCTGTACTAGAAAATGAACACAGGATCTTGTACACACTAAGAACACATGCTACCACTGAGCTACTCCCCCAGTCCTCAATTTCTTACAGTCACAATTATTTTAAACAGGTTTATGCATTTTAAAATTTGCTTTTATAGCCACTGAAAAGATACATGATTTAATAAAAATTATTTTCAGTTTAAATCAAAGCAAGACTTTTCAAAAAAAGAAAAATGGAAAGGAAGAGAAAAAAAGGAAGGAAGGAAGATAGATCAGCTGGGAATGGTAGCACATGGCTGAATCCCAGCACTTGGACAGCTGAGGCAGGATTGTGAGTGTGAGGTCAGCCTGGGCTGTGTAGTGAGCTCAAAGCCAGCCTGAAATGCAGAATGGGACTCTATCTCACAAAGCCAAAACAATTTTTTTTAAATGTCTAACACTTCTTTGCATTCAGTATGTCACTTAATGTTATTAACTATTCTGTGGATTCTTTGGTGTTTTATTTTTTGTTTTAAAGAGAATAAAACTGAACAAAATAAAACAAATTGAAGCCAGTGAAAACAACAACCAGAGTGATACAGGAATTCAATCAAGATGATGGGAGATCAACAATGGCTACCATAATATCTCCTTTTCTTCAAAATAGCTGCGCATACCATCGGCTATAATAAAATCAAACAAAAACAATAAAACCGATCAAAATAACGGAAGTGTTACAGGCCTTCAAAACCTGGTAATACGAAATCGGCAATGGCTACTATAATATCTGTTATCTTCAAAAGAGCTGCCCATAGCATCAGATATAATAAAATCAAATAAAACATAACAGGATAAAACCATATCTAACAAAACAATGAAAATGATACAAGAACTCAAAACAAGATCATAGAAAATTAACAATGGTTACCACCTTCCTTTTTTAGATGTTTCTTCCCCTATCACTTTCACAATGTCTACTGTACATTTTGGGACCCAGTAACTTCTTCAATTTTTGATGATAGGAAGATAACATGATGTTTACCCAAATGAGTCCAAACCATTTCACCCATAAGCATGACCTCCAGTTGCATCCATTTACTGCAAGAGCCTCAAGATTACCCTACTTTATAGCTGAGTAGCTCTCCATTGTATGAAAATGCCATATATTTCTTAGCCATTCAGTGGTGATAAGCAAGCTTTTTTCTGGTTTCCTGTCACACGGAGCATTGTTTCCTCTCCATTGACTTTTGGTCCATGAATTTCCTTTCATGTTAAATGTGTTTCTTGTATACGGTGTATTGATGGGTCCTGTCTCTTGATCCACTCTGCCTGTGTTTCTTATTATTGGCATCTGCATTAATGCTTATGACCAACATGCTCTGCCTTGTCTCTGCCATGCTTTTTTTACTGCTGTTGCCTCCCTTGTTTTCCTCTCCATTCAATTGTCTGCCCCATTCAGTGATCCCTCTCTGCTGCTGTTCTTGGAAGTGTGATTATCTTTATGCCTCTCTAGAACATCCTTCCATGCTCTTTGTAGGTTGGTTTGGTGGTCATGAATTCCTTCAGTTGTACTTTGTCATGGAAGTATCTTGCTTCTCCACTAATTTTGAAAGATAGTTTTGCAGAGTACATCAATCTGGATTTGAAGTTGTTTTCGTTCAGAATTTGAAACACTTCACTTTAAGCTCGTCTTGACTTAAGGGTTTGTGCTGAGAAGTCTGTCATGATTCTGATGGGTTTGCCCTTGTAGGCAATCTGCTTCTTTTTTCTAACAGCCTTAATATTCTGTTCTTGTGCTGAATTTCTGGGAGTTTGATTATTGTATGTATGAGTGTAGATTTATCTTGGTTATGGTTAATTGGATTTCAGATGCCTTGTAATCTGTATGCTAGGTCCTTTTCCCATGTTTGGGAAGTTTTCTACTATTACTTCTGTAAATAGTCTTTTTAGGTCATTTATGTTGACCTCTGCTTTTTTGCTGACACCTATCATTCTTAAATTATTTTTCATTGCATCACCTTGCAGCCATTGAATTGTTATTTGCTGGTTCCTTATTATTTTTAAGAGATCATTTCTTCCACAGTCTAGCTGCAATCCTGTCTTTAAGGTCTGAAAGCCTATCTTCAGTCTCTTCCAACTGTTTTTTCCAGCTTTCAGTGGAGTTTTAAATTTCCTAAATATCTCTTTGAATCTGTTTCATCCATTGTAATTCCTTCCTCTATTGTTCATTCTATGTTTCCATCATTTTCCTATGCTTCTCTGTCTTACCTATATCTTCTTTAGATGTGCTCAGCAATTCTATCATTATGTTTGTGGTTTCTTATTTTACCTGAGACATTATTTCTGATCCAATAACTTTTGCAGCCTTATGCAGTTCTTTACTTCAGTTGCTATCCTCTTAAGAGATTGCAGATGTGTGACTTCCATTTTTTCCCCATGTCTTGTTTCTCCCGGGCTTGTTTTGTATGGGCTGGAGGTCAGAGGTTGCCTTTTGCTCCTTCACCTTGACATTCTCCTGAGTTCCTCCTGACAAACTGGTTGTGCCATACTTCCCATGTTGCCTGCCTCTCCTCAGTGTCAGGGAATGGGCAGGCACCTGGGTTTCTGAGAACCCATGTTTCCGAGGAGGAAGTGGGGTATGGGGTAGGCTTCTCCAGACCCATGCAGTACAATGAGGCTTCTCCAATGGCCATGGTTACGTGATGGTGGGGCTGCTGCTCCTCTTGGCCTGCATGGCTACACCAAGACTCCCCAGATGGCAGCAGACACACAAGGCCATGTTTAATTCTCCTAGCCAGCCCACTTTGGCTGCCCACAGGAAGCTCCATCACCAGTGGCAGCCTGCAGGTGCATGGGGCATATCTGGCTGTTTGTCCCTCCTGAGGGAAGCAAGCATCCAATGGCGGCGGGCATGCAGGGGTGGGTCTGGCTATTTCTCCCTGCCTTTGCTGGCTGCCTGCAGGAAGCAAGCATCCCGATGATTGACACTGGTGTTTTAAATTGTATTTTCAGACCCTAATTGTACATACCCCAAAGGTTAGAGACCTAATTATTTTAGTCACCACAATAAGAAGATTCTCTGACAACTAAACAAAATTTTTCATTTATTCTTTCTATTCAGTGTCCAATACAGATTATCATTCATACATTATCATTGGAAGGAAAATAGAACACTACTTAATTTTAATATATGTCTCACAGGGCAGTTTTGATGAATTTAGATTTTATTCATTGAAATAAAATAATGATTTTTGATGATGTGGATTGGTTTCTTGCCCATGCATTAATTTCCTGAGTTGACTCCCAGCTTAGAGACCTGGCTGGTGTAGGAATAACATTTGCCATAGATTTGCACCCTGAAGACAAAGCTGAGACTCTAGGCCAGCCCTGCCTCAGAACAGCAGGAGTTATTCAGTCACATATCTATGAGTGTACAGTCAAACTTCCTGTTTAAACTCTTACATATCCATAACGTATTCCATCTTTTGATTAGATCAGTAAAGGAATGTTAACATGCACATGTACATTGAAGCATCTTATCTGTTATAATTTTTGCAGCGTTCTCTCCAAACAGGGAAAAAATCTTAAGAGAATAGTGATTATTAACTGTATTCATTTCTTCTTAAGCAGATTGTTGTCATCTCCTCTTTTGAATCCAGTTTTCCTATAGTTTATGTCAGCAGCTCGTGATGAAATGACCAAATATGTTTTTGGAAAGCACACAAAGTGGGGCTTTCTCTTATGTTTTTTTTTCTTATGTTTACATTAGGCTTTACTTTAAAGGCAAGTGACTGCTTCAAATAAAACAACTCCAAGCTTCAGGAACTGGTGGAGAGAAAGCAGAGACCAGCAGAAACACTTCTCCGCTGACCCTCGCACAGTTACCATGGACCTGCAAAAGCAGTGGGAGAACACAGAGCCTAACTGGCATAAGGAAAAGATGGAATTACTGGACCAGTTTGACAGTGAAAGGAAGGAATGGGAAAGTCAATGGAAAATCATGCAGAAGAAGATAGAAGAGGTACGTGTTGATTTATTATGAATGTATTGTAAAGTTCAAACTCAGAATGAAAATTCTGTTGGTGTTTGTTTTGTTTTGGAAACCACTTTTATGCCCTTTATTCCACTGAAGAGACACATGTGTCAGTGACATTTACCAGACCAAAAATAACATAGCCTTGCCTGGTGGCATCTTAGGGACCATGCTCATCCTGTAGCATTGCCTGAAAGTCAAGACCTTGGCACATCGCTCTAGAATGCAGTGGTGTATTATTTTCAGGATGGAGAAGTTTGGTATCAAATGTTCTGTGCAGTCTGCATATGCTCATTAATACCAGGGCATCTGAGTACAAATGCAGGAAATACATAATTTGTGGTAAATATACTAGAAAAATTATAATTGGGCATTAGAATACAGATTTCCTGAGCAGATTTACGAGTAAAATGTAGCAAAGGAAATTATCATTATATATCTCAGTATAATCAAAAAGTATGATATATCAAACAAAATGGCAGTAGATATTTTTTCTGACAAGGTATGCTACATTTATTAGAAAAGATTTTGTCAAAAATGACATGTCATGACTGATTCCACCATTATATTCCCTTATATTATCTCTTAGTCTGTCAGGCATGGACTCTTTCATTCAAGCATTTGCATTGTCATATATTCAAACTCGCTGGGGAATATTTATACTTACCTCACTTTATTCTGGTAAATCCACAACATTGACTCATGTGGCTTTATGTCCCTTTTCTTGGCATTTATTTGCAGGCAGTAAAAATGAATGTTTTCAATATTTATAATGGAAACATTCTTTCTTACTGACAACCAGCTGCTTATGAATAAAATAAAGATAGACAAATTTTGCCAGCCAAAACAAAAGAAGAAAGAAAAGGCAGACCTTCTGTGTGTGATCAGAGATTAAATGACATATCCACTTCTTGTCCCTTCATAATTTGGAAAATGTGTTCCACTTGTCCCTTTTTGGTTTTTGTTTTTGTTTTTTGGTACTGAGGATCGAACTCATGACCTCACACTTGCCAGGCAGGCACTTACACTACTGAGCTAAATCCCCATCCCCAGTATTTGGATTTTTGTTTGTTTGTTTGTCTGTCTACTTGTCCCTTTAATGCCCTCTGCATCTAGAGACGGAGACAGAATCATAAGGAGATGTCTGAATCAATAATTCAGACTCTAAAACTTTAACTCAGTCAAATACTGACTTAGTCCTGGATTGTTGGTCCCCAAAGGTTTGGAAGGTCCAGTTGATAACAATGTTGGATCATTTTAACATCCAGTGAATGAATTACCTGGTGCAGGATTGGTTTAGTTCATTTCTTAAGTCATGTAGCTAAAATAATCTGCTGATGGGTTAAATTTGCAGTTGTTCAATAATTATTCTGCTAACTATAGACACAATATGTGGTAAATACTAATCTTATCAATTAGCTTTAGTTAGGTCATAACTTATACTGTCTCTTCCTACTTCAGGGCAACAGAAAGGGCTGCAATGCTTTTCACTGTATGAGAAAGTAGCTGTTATGTTGTTATGTTTTTCTGCCTGTGGTAGACAGCTGCATAGCTGGAAATATGTATAGATAATGTGCTTACATGAAATATCCATGGATTTTTTTCAGTACATAAGTACTGGCAGTGTGTATGTGCACGTGTGTAGGTGTGTTTGTGTGTGTGTGTGTGTGTGTGTGTGTATGTGTCTAAAAGATACCTTCTTACAGGCTGGAGTACAAAAATAGAAAGACGAGTTGGAGACCACAGCAATGATTTATGTTAAATGCAGCCAATGATACTGTCTTTCTAGTAATTAACACCAAAATTGTGCCGTGCATATTTCTCTATATTCAGAAAACAACAGCCAACTATTTCCCAGGAATAGCACTTTTCCCTCTTGTTCTGAAACCAAAACCATTTGTTTTTACCCATGCTTTCTCCAAAAAAGGGCAGCAGCATCAACTTTACCCTTAGATCTAACATGCCATGTTGTAGAGTTTCTTTTTAAAATATCCCTCAAGGTGAGCCCAAGCCACATCACACATGGCAGGTTGGTATAAATAATGCTACAGAAACTGTTGATTCACAGCTGTTGTTTGATGCTGTCTTGACCCACCTTATGCAGTGACCACTTACAAATTCAAAAGTACTAAGAAAATAAATCACTGTGTAACTTTCAGGCATCAACTATGTTTAATGCTTTTCTCCACTGAGTCTCAGGTACATATTAAGTGCCAATATATTTTTCCTTATAGTCTTTGAATAACAGTACATGTTATGTAGATGCTGACTGGCTGTGAAGTGCAGAGTCGTTTGTGTTAACGTATACCTGAAAGCCTTTTTGGAAATTAACAAGCTTTCCCAAAACTGAAGTCTAAAGAGAAAACTACTTTCCTCCCTCTGGGAGAGAGCTGAGTCTGCAACATGACAATCTCACCAAGAAATAATTTAGGATCCCCTTTAACTCAGGTAAGTAGATAATCAAAGCTTTAAGACTCTGTTGTCACATTTGCTTTAACCTGAGTGAGAAACTTTCTTTAGATGTGTATATCCTTGGCATCAAAAACATCTCAGTAATCTGTCGACCTCCCCAGTGTAATTGACCAACCGAAGGACACATTTTCTGATGACCAATTGCATATTTAGGGAGCAGAATAAATTGGCTTATTATGTGAGCTTATCTGCTATTTAGGCAGTTAAATGTTGGCGTAGAAGGAAGGCCATATGTTTTAAAAACATGAATTTAGTGTAAGTTAAGCACTTGACTCTTTCTGAAGCGATTAGAGAGCATGCCCATGAATTGATTCAGGTCTTTCTGATTTTGTGACAGTGCTTCTGCACCTCCATATAGAGATACAGGTTTCTTTTACTTTTATTGAGTTGATTTTCTGTCCAGAATACAGAATTCAGCATCAGTGCACTGCCCTACCAAAAGTAGTCTTTGTGGTTTGCCAAGGTGGCTACAGCTGATCCATAGGTACAAAGTACTGTTTGGAATCAGGACAGCATAAGGTAATGTGGCACAGAGATCCCAAGAGTGGTGTGCGTGGTTATAAAAAGCACGGGCAAAGTCAACTATGGCAAACGAGTTTTCATTTTGTTTTCATGCAGCTTTGCCACGAAGTAAAGCTTCGGAGGAAAATCAACAGGGGTGAAGGTGCTAAAGTCCTCGGTCTCGATCATGAGACGGGCATTGGGAGTGAAATGTTGGCGCCTCCTCCAAATGAGCCCAGCTCAGGACAGTGTGAACTCACAGAGATGGACCACAGCAGTGCCTGGGAAGGGAAACACGGGACAGGGCAGAGCTTACTGGATGAAGAAAACGCACTGTGTAAGGGACAAAAGCTGCCAAAGAAATCAAAAGTAGCATTCATAGACCTGTTGGCTACAGGCAAACAAAAGGGCCATGAGGCTCTACCTGGTCTTGGGACTTCAGAAGAGGAGAGGAAGAGCTGCTCTGGGGCCCTCCACACAGTGAGTAGACGACATGGCTGTGAACTGTTTCTCAGACGCTTGCGTTTCAGGGTGCTAACCCGCTCTTGCCTCTCTGTATAAAGGCTCTTGAAGAACTTGCCAGAGTTAGCGAAGAGCTGTGCAGCTTTCAAGAGGAAATCCGAAAGCAGTCTAGCCACAGAAGGTAAGATGGGCCTCTACACTTATTTTAGGGAAATCAAACAGTATTACTTGCTTCTTCCTTCCATTTTGTGAGTGATAATGAGTTATTAAAATATATATGTAAATAAATATAAATAAATAAAATGTATGTGTCGGGTAGAGGTAGACACTTCAATGGTGTACTTTGCTGTTCACTGATTTTTAAATCTTCAGTTCACTGTACAGTTTTATGACCAAGAGGACTTTATTCTCATGGTAATCAGTTCAGTAAACCTTCCTTTAAAAATTAAGATATGTCCTCTTGCATCATTCTCTTAACTTTATTTTTTAAAGGAAAAAAACTTTGCTTTATGTTTCATAGTAGTGTTTGCACACCTGACTCTCTGGAAGATTTGGAATTATTACTAAAAATATTGGCACATTAGCTAGATGAATTAACCGTATGTGCTGTGATGTTCCCATCCACATCTGCATCCTGCCTTGATCATCTGCATGCACTCTTCTCCCTCCTCCTCCTCCTCCTCTTCTCCTCTCTGCACCCCTCCCAGAGCCTGGTGATCCTTCTACTTTCAGTCATCTTTCTGTTTCTTTCAACATGTAAGAGAGAAGGTGTGATACTTGTCAGGTGATACTTTTCTTTCTGTTGTCTCATTTATGCTACTTCATAGGATGTCCATCAGGTCCATTCGCTTTGCTAGAGATGACAGGATTTAATTCTTCTTTTGTGCTAGGTAATATTCCATTCTGTATGTATATATCATATCTAACATAGTTCTCTTTCATCTTGAGTAATTGGCCAGTGGAAGAGTATACAAGGCAGCTTACCCTGTTAAGTATGACTTTAACCTATGTCAGAAATTAAGAGTGTAGTATTATAATTATATTTGATGTTCTACTGAAACAGTTTACACCCAATTTATTTCTCTACAATTAGTATTTACAGAGAAAGACATATTTAATGTAATTTTCAGAATAAAATAAATACATTCACACATACACATTGACACAATATTATTTCAATTCAGAAACAGTATGTAATTGTGAGCATAAGTTGTAACCAAATTATAAATTAATTTTGAAGTCTTCACATGATCAATATGGGTTATTCTGATGTCAGTTTCTCTCCTCAAGAAGCCTTATGTTTCTCTTAGAAGCACTGATGGTATGCACCTTCATTTTTCCTTAGCTCCTAGGAAGCTTAGAATTTTTGTACAGACTTGCAATGGGTCTTTCTAAGCCAGCAATATTTTATATATAATTTTGCCCTGCACTGGCCCATTTAGCTTTCCCTACTGTTTTGGTTTCCCTACTGTTTCTCTGCACTTAATCATTTATAAGTTGAATAGATATAAATGGCTTATATTTATCAATACAATTAAGCTTGATTTGTAAATCCACATTCATGTAGTATTTGAGATTTTTACTTGGAGACTGAGAAAAAGACTTACTTTCCAGTTTTTGTTCGCAAGTAACAACTAGTTCAAAACTCACATTGTCACATGATGGCTTTTAGAAAAAAGTTGAAAATCTCTCCTGTATAATTCATAGACACTGCAGTTTTTTCCCAAGGACATTACACATGGACATGACTTCTCCCCCTTTTCATTGTCCAACCCACTCTGCTTTAAATCCACCCATACTGAAATACTCATTGTTTCTTGAATGGGTTCACTGTTTTTATCACAGTTCATGCTGTCTGTATGCCTTTTACGGGACTTATTTTTTAAGCTCAGGTGACACCTTCCATTCGATTATGTCTTATTGTACTTTTATTCAGATTTCTGTCCTAATACTTATTTGTTGTTTCAAATTCAAGAAGAGGAAGTTGTGCTCCCTTAACCCAATGAGTAAGAATTCTAAAGGCAAAGAGGAGGTAAGGAAATGGCAAGAGAAAAGTTACAGAAATGGGAATTCAGTAGCAGAAATGCAAGAGAGTCAGAATTTACTCTGAAGTTTCGAATAAGATCAAGAATGATAAAGATTGGAAAGCATAGGTCAGGCAAGGTGGGCAGAGCCTTGATGTAACACTGAGTGTTGACTTTGACCTGTGATACGATAAAGGGAATTTGAAGATTTTGACTAGGACATTTACCTAAAGATTGTGTTTGAGGAAATTGTGGCTCCCTTTCCTATAGCAGACATCCATGGTTTTTTTTTTTTAGGAACTATTCTTAAATAAAGCTATCCCTAAGCTATCACATCTTACAATTATCTAGGATGAAGTCAGACTCTTTTCTCCAGGAAACGCCGAAAGCAGTCAGTGCACCTCAGGGGAACCACTTGATCAACAATGGCCAGTGCATTTTTCCAATCAGTTTCGAAAAAGAAAAACAGATGCGGGGAAAGAATCTGAGCTGTACCAGTGTGTCCCAAAACAACTCTGTAAAAAGTTGCGGAATTGGTGCAGTTGATTTGCAAACACATGAAACCCCACCGGTTCCTCCTCCGAGGAGCACATCTCGAAATTTCCCCAGCTCATATTCCGAACAAGCCCAAGAGCAACTGAAGGGAAGTGTAGACCACAAGAGCTGGGCAGCCTGTGGGAGTCCAGGTGAAAGGAGCTGCAGTCCTCCTTTTCTTTCGAGGCAGCGTGAGATACCTACATTGGGTCCAGATGAAGGGAAGACTTTGGAAGATAGTGTCATGTTTTCCTCTTTGACACCAGAAATCCAAATAGATAGCAGGGCTCCCGGTAGCGTTAGACTTGGCGTAAGCCCATGCACTGTTGAGATAGACGCCAAAAGGAGCCCCTCTGCTTTGCGGTTTCAGAATACCTGCTCTCCCCCTACCAAGCCACAGTTAGAAGACGTGCTTGCAGATCACTCTGCAAAATCTCCTGTTCTCTCCGTAAATAATGACAGTAGTTCTTTGGTGGCACAGAGCAGTGGTCCACTTGGAAGTTTCACCTGTGGCTTTGAAAGGACTACAAGGAATGAGAAGCTGGCCACAAAGACTGATGAATTTAACAGAACTGTGTTTAGAACAGACAAACACTGTCATGCAGCATGGCAAAATGAAAGCTACTCACAATCATCTGAAGATAGTAAGCCTTCTGATACCCCACCTGCCCCTGTAGGTGGCCTATCCGTCAGTGACAACGTGACCGATATTCTGAAAACCAGCACCTACGTGCCTGAGCCCACAGAAAATGTACCTGTTAATCATACCGGGAAGTCCACAGCTGGCCTGGCTAGACAAATGCAGGAACAGATGCCTTCCGGCGGTTACCGGACTGTGCTTCAGGAGCGTGACTGGAGACCAAGCAGTTTATCTGGCAGACCAAGATCCGCTGACCCAAGATCCAACTACAGCGTCGTGGAAAAGTTGCTGAAAACGTGTGATATGTCCGCGGGCCCTGCATTTTGGAGCTCTAAATGCGTGAGGGAAAATTGGACCAAGTGGCACACGGATGTCAGTGACAGTTCCACGTCAAGTCAATGCTTACAAGGGATTCAAATGGAGCAGGAGTTACAGCCAAGGACAGTTTGGGGCGGGGGACAGCAAGTGAAGCCAGGAGTAGATCGCAGAAAGGTGACGGAGTTAAGAAAGCAGATATGGGTCGTCATTCTTGGTCATTTTCTTCCCTGAGACTTACCTTTGTGATCTGTAAACCAAGACTCCTTTGCCAGACTTCACAAAAAGCCTCTTTCCCTTTATGGTCTGAATGAACCACTAGACTCATTTTAACTCCTTGTTATGTTGACTAAAATGGTAGAACTTTGGATATGAAAAATAATTATTATCTAGTCTAAGCCCTAGAACTTAAAATGGAAGAAACTAATTTTGTGTTCTCCTTTTAAATATTTTATCATGTTTTCATGAAAAAACCTATCAGGTAACATTTGAAAACATTTTGGCTGTGTCGTGATTTTTAACTCATAAATTTTCTACTTTAGATCGGCATTTTCTTCCCCCCAAGTATATCTTTCATGTTCCAAGCATTGCAGGACTTAAGGAATTTATTGATATTTATAAAAAATATTTAAATACACCTATTTGTAAATGTTTTCCCTAAATACTTTGGGAAGGATGGTCCTGCATTATTTCATGAAGAATGACTGATATTATCAGCTGAACTGAGGAAAAGAGTAAGAATGAAACAGAAGAAAGTGCTGTGTGTGTGTGTGTGTGTGTGTGTGTGTATGTGAGCGTGTGTGTGTGTGTGTGTGTGTGTGTGTTGCTCCCTGCTCTCACAGAAATTCTAGATCTTGCCTTGCGTCTGACAGCCCAGTGTAAAACTATAGAGGATGCTCTGTATAATCCACTGTTTAAACACTTATGTGTAAATCTTCACTTGTGTTCTTACAGAGATAGTGAAGATGATATTTCATTTGGTTTATTTTACCCTAAAACATGATTGATTTCAATAGCAGTGATTTAGCCAGCGTCCATATCACCTGGACCAAAAAAAAAAAAAAGTACCCGCTTCCCTAAAAAGATCTCTAAAATTATTTCTAGGCATACTTGCTGATAACGGTTACTTGATATTGAAATCTCCTTTGATTCTTGGATGTTAATAAATAAAATAAGCTTGGAAACACCCTTGTGGTATTTGTATACATCGAGAATATTTCTGTTTTCCTCTTGTACAGTGTATTCTAGTAAAACCTAGTCTTAAGTCTCAATTCAAGTATTTCAATATAGCTCCTCCCCAGATTCCTTTAAATGATGGAATTTAAGGCAAATGTGCTGCTAACCATACACAAGCCTATGTAGTTTCTCACACAGTGACAACCACTCGGTGTCCATTTAGCTGCTCAGTGAATTTGATGGAAGTCTTCTTTGTCTGAGACAAGTATTCACTCTGCAGTTCAGGTTGGCTTTAAATTTACTTTGTAGCCCAGGCTGGCCTCGAACTCAGCAGTCCTCCTGGCTCAGCCTCCTAAGTGCTACGATTAGCATGGACCACCAAGCCTGACTAACAGTCTTCTTTGAAAAGAGCAGTGACTTCTGAAATTTGCATTTATGTGATAAAGTTGGTTACATGTTTTAGACAGACTCAAATTACTTATGTTATACTATTTTGCTTTGAATTCTTATGTTTTTCTTAAGTGGCAAGTCCTTTTATCAGAATTGAAAACTGTTATTCTTCTCACCTAGAAAATGTGCTTCTTCCACATAATTGGGCTTTGTCAGCAAAAAAAAATGTTTTTAAACATTGGAGAGAAGATCCTGAGGCAAGTAGCAAAGGTGATGGCTAGTCAATTAATTTGATATATAAATTCTTCTTATCATAGACAATAATATCACAACTTAAAATAGAACCTATATTTCAATGATCTAAAGAATCCAATGGGTTGGATTGGCAAATTTAAAAGAATAAGAAAAATCTAGAACCTCGTATGAAGGTTTGAGGCGCAGAGCCTAGGGAAGCGTCCAGTTACGAGTCACTTGGAACAGCCTGGCTGTTTGTTTTTGCAGTACTGGGGGATTGAATCCAGGGCCACTCTTAACTGAGCTTCAGTCTCAGCCTTTTTTAAAGAATTGATCTGAGAAAATGTCACCCTAAATCCCCCAGACTGGCCTTGATCTTAGGCTCCTCCTGCCTCAGTCTCCTGAGTGGCTGTGGTTACAGGTGTGTGCTGCTATGCCCAGCTAACAATCGCTTTTAAAGGCAAAGCACCTAATAGCGTCAGGCAGTCAGCGTTTGCTTGGCTGCCAGTGCTACCAGGAGGGCCCGATACCCTGTCCTCCTTCCCTGCATAGATGCTCCAAAAATGATCATTACAATAAATTTTTTGAAATGATAGATAAAAATAAGTGGCTCTTCAGACTCCTGGTCTAGGCTCATTTTCTGATGTTCTTTCCTGTAGAAAGAGTGAACACTTATTTTTTCATTTTTGTTCTGTTATGTTTTATAAAGTGACACTGAATTAATTTATTCTTTTGTTTAATTCTGTGACCTTTGTCAAAACTCATCACTCATCATTTATATGGTTTTTACAAACTGAAGAAGTGCACAAAGCTGATTTTGAAAATCTTTCCTACTTTGGGTGCCTGTCCCGATTTTATATAAGCTTGGCACATAGGCCATGATGTCAAAGGTGAAACCAGTAAGTGTTCACTAAATTCTGACCACCTTAGTCCCTAAGGGCCACAGAATGTTCCACACTGTGGAACGTATGTGCACTGCAGGAGAGATGAGAGTCTTCCTCTGGAGGCACCATCTGTGCTGCTATAAGAATAGACCTGGACTTGGGTAACTTACAAAGAGCAGAAATGGGTCTTTTACTGTTCTGGAGGCTGGCAGGTCTAAAATCAAGGTCCTGGCAAATTCAGTGTCTGCGGAGGACCTGTCTTCACATTGAGGATGGTCCCTTATGGCCACACCCTCACGTGGAAGAGGACAAATGCTGTGCCCCTGAATGGCCAAAAGGGCTGGCCTTTTCTGCAAGGGCCTCAGATCTCACTATGAGGGAGGAGCCCTCCTGATTTAATCATGGCCTAAGCTCTTGATACTACTGCGGTGGAGACTCGGTTTCCATGTGACTTCTGTAGGCGCACATTCTAACCTTGAAAGGGTTAACTCCCTAACTCCCCAGAGCGGGAAATAAAAGGGTTAACTCCCTAACTCCCCAGAGCCGGGAATGAAAGGGTTAACTCCCTAACTCCCCAGAGCGGGGAATAAAAGGGTTAACTCCCTAACTCCCCAGAGCTATCAGAGCAGAGCAGAAAGAAATGCCTAACTCCCCAGAGCTATCAGAGCAGAAAAAAAAAAAAAAAGAAAGAATGCACCTGCAAGGTTGTTCTGTCTCAACGAGATAAGTAAGACAAGTAACTGTTCTGTTCTGGGCACATAGTGACTGGGCTAGGACCCCCAGTCTCCATGGTTACTCAACCCCAAACCCCTCCAATCAATTTCTGCCAAGTCCTATGCTGCTCAAAATTAACCAATGCAATCTGCTTCTGTAAACTTGCTTGCCTCCCGCTTGCGCCCTTAAAAACCCTACACAATTCCCCCTCGGGGCCCCTCCGCACTTGTTTGCCTGGGGGACCCCATGCGCATGGAAATAAACTTTTTACTCCTCACTATGAGCTGAGTCCTTGGGGTCTTCTTCCCTGCGACACTGGTTCTTACATATGGAGGCCCCAGCGAGATAGTACGTCTCACGGGAGACGACCTCAATGGCTCCGCCTTACACCGCGGGTGAGTACGACTGGTCACTTTTGTTTACTTTCATTTTGAGATTGATCTACCAGTACTTTACGCCCCAAGCCGAGCGGCTCCAATCTAGGGGCAATTTCTGTTATCTGTTCTCTGGTGACCGGGGGACGCCCCACACGGTTTTCCGTGGCTCACCGTCTGCGATAGGGTTTTCCTATCGATCTGGGGAATTTCATTCCCAATCTGTGGTCCGTCCGGGCCAATCTGGAGGCACCCACCCGGGTGGCTCATCTGGGGAATTTCATTCCCAATCTGTGGTCCTTCCAGGCCAATCTGGAGGCACCCACCGGGGTGGCTCGTCTGGGGAATTTCATTCCCAATCTGTGGTCCGTCCGGACCAATCTGGAGGCACCTCCTAAGGTGACTCGTTTGGTGTGAGACTAATGCGTGAGAGTGAGGTGGCCGGCCTGTTCGTCTTGTGTGTTGCAGGTGTTGTGTTCGGATATTTGTTGTATCGCGCTTGCGTTAACCGCCCTGTGACTTTAGAACGCCATGGGACAATCGACCTCATCCCCATTGTCCCTCACCCTCGACCATTGGTAGGAGGTTCGGAAGAGGGCTCACAATCTCTCCTTACAGGTCAAGAAAAGTAAATGGAAGACTTTCTGCTCGTCTGAGTGGCCCACATTCTCCGTGGGTTGGCCACCGGAGGGGACCTTCCACCTTCCCCTCATCCTAGCAGTTAAGAACATCATCTTCCGCCCCGGACAAGAGGGCCACCCTGACCAGGTTGCCTACATCTTGGTATGGCAGGACCTCAGGGAGGAACCCCCACTATGGGTGAAACCCTTTCTTCCTCCTCCCGACTCCTCTATACCTAAACTCCTAGCTCTAAAAAGGGCTCCCACCCCGGTCCTGCCCGATTCTCAGCCCGATCTCCCTCTGCTCGACTATGACCGACCTCCTCCTTCTCAACCGGCTCAACCTCCCCCATACCCGCTTTCTCCCCTAGCCTCTTCGTCCGGATCGAGCGCTACTCCCCCTCCGGCACCCTCTTCTCCTGAATCAAACTCCTCTTCTACCCCGGCACCCCGCCTTCTCTATGCCCCCACGCTCCCACCGGTGGCTGGTCCTGGGTCCACTCCCCTGGGACTCGCAGGCCCAGCCCAAAACACTCGTAGCAAACAACGACCGGAGGACCCAGTGGTCACTCTCCCCCTCCGTCCCTATGGGCCCACTATCGGCGACGGGACGGACGAGGGAGTAATGCCGGCCCTCCAGTATTGGCCATTTTCAACCTCAGATTTGTATAACTGGAAAAATAATAACCCTCTTTTCTCTGATGACCCCTCCAAGTTAACAGGCTTAATGGATTCAATCATGTTCTCCCACCAACCCACATGGGATGACTGCCAGAAACTTCTGGGAGTCCTGTTCACCACCGAGGAGAGAGACCGCATCCTTCTTGAAGCCCGAAAAGCCGTTCCCGGAGATAACGGCAGACCCACCCAGAGACCTGACCTGATCGACGATTTCTTCCCCTTAAAGCGCCCCGACTGGGACCCCAACTCTCCTAACGGTAGGCAGCATCTTTCTATCTATCGCCAGACTCTAATGGCAGGTCTCTGGGCGGCCGGAAGGCGCCCCACTAATTTGGCCAAGG